GTCTCGCTGCTGGAGCCACTCAAGACGCTGGTTGAACGGGACTAGGGCCGCACTCCGTTTGGCTCGATAGAAGTATTGTTGAATAATGTCCACCGGCACTTCAACATACTCCACGGAATTAGACCCCAATCCCTCAGCTACGCTAGGGGCTGTGGCACAAGCGGCGGACCCCGCCATAGCACAGGCCAATAGTAAGGTCCAGAGCTTATCCAGGTAGGAGTTGGCATCTCGACTGGCAGGTTCGTCTTCCTCAGCTTCCTCAACATACAAGGAATCAGCGATCTTTCCGGATCTTTCTTTTCTTTTGGGTGGTGGCCTGCTGGAATTGGAGAGATTTCACTCGCCAAATGTTGTACACACACAACATGCGTTTGGTGAGTTCTCGCGTAACCCGAGAAATCGTGGCATCAGCAGGGTGAACCTCAGGGGGGAACCGCAGCTTGTAGCGACGCCAGAAGGCGAAGGCGCTCTTCAAATCCCGGAGTTCGGAGTCGCCCAACAATGCATCTAGATCAGATGCCGAGATGCGAGACCGATCCTGTTCGGATTGTTTGAAATAGAGCGACACGGCGGCCCACGCCCGACGAACCCTTGCCCCCTGGAGGTTGGCGTCCTCGCCCAGCGAAAGTTTGGACAACCACGGTTGAACCTTGTCCTCACTCTCGAAAAAGAAGCGAAACTCCTCCAGGTTCTGGAGCCGGGCTTTGACCAAGGCATCGGTGACTGCTTCAGCTATGCTGAAGTTAATCCCCAATTGGCGGAAAGTAGCCGCAGCATCCGCACCGTCACTCGGCACGAGTTGCAAGCTAGACGCCATGTGGGGACACAGGGGCCCTCCCTAGGGAAAGTGAGGACCCACCTCACACAGTGGTACCACGAGGACCCACCTCGCCTCTGTCGGCCAAAAGGAGCTGGCGAGGCGGAGATCCTAGGTGCACGTGAGAAACATACAAGCGACTCAACTCTAGCGACTACAAAAATCGGTCACACACTGCTAGTGTCAAAGGCCTGGAACCCCCGGCCACACAGCAATCCTGCTGGTCTGGGGATCACCCCCCAAAACGGAAACAGCTACACAGCAAAAGACTCACTGACACTCAGGGTTCTTTCCGCTGATGGCGCGCTCTCCGGTCGCCTCGGTAGCCTACACATGACGTAGTCTACAAAAAGGGGCATCCACGGAGGCCGCCTGCTCTTATGAGGCGCAACCGTCCCGCGACCACTAGGCCGGCCGGCTGCTCAGCAGTTCAATGTCGCGCTTGCCAGGAGGCTGGGCCTTTGCTCCAGCATGGTCCGCACACCGGACGGGCAAACGTACTCGCTTCCATGAAGCTGCTGTAGAAGTGGGCGTCTTTGAGCCGCTGCTGAACTCGAGCTTCACCTTGCTTGAATTGGCACAGAGCGACACGGCCTTCAGTGCACAGGTGGATGTTGGAACGTTCAGAAGCAAGATATCCAGCAGGCTTCGGGTGTACTGGTGGCAACGACAGAGTGCGCCTCGTCGTGTAGAGCCACTGCGCTGCCGTGCGATCCCTGCAGAACTTGTGGAACTCCACACAAGGCCGCATCTTGGTGATCTTCTCGGCTGCTTCATCCACTGAGGTGCCCATCATGAGTGCATAGATGAGGGCTGTACAGGCAGGAGCCCGATGCTTGCCAGCCATGCAGTGCACAAGCACAGAATCACCACAATGTAGACTCTGATGGATGAGAGGCCATGCCGTCTTGAACTCTTGATCCATGCGCTTGCTGCCCATCTGAACCTTCATAACGCATGCCTGCGGCAACGACACCCCCCCCCGACCCTCGGGGTATTGTGGTAGGCAAGCGATCTGGAGGTGAGTCTTTGGGAAGTGTTGCACCGTTTCAGCAATCGGAATACCCGATAGCCACAGCTGGCCCCCTGACCGAGTGGTCATGATCAGGGTAGGGGCGAGAGTGTCACGCCCTTCAGAGGTGGCCAAACGGTCCCAATGCGACTGCTGAGGTCCTGGCGACACTGCTGGGATGGGCAGAGTACTTGGTGCTGGTTCTGAAGGCTGTCTCCAAGGAGGAGTCCTGGCCAATGGTGGTGGTGAGGGATCTCTCGGACCACGTGGCTTCTTCTTGGCTGATGTTGCTATCAGCTTGGGCGGAACTGCCTTGTGTGGGGGCGCCTTCGGAGGCGTTTTGGGCCGTGGAGATGGTGCCTCTGCCGCATCAGGCCGAGCACTCGGCTGGGGTGAGGCCTCTCGTCGGCGCTTGGTGCTTGCGGAGGGTTTGGCCTTCGAGGACGTGGTAGTAGTAGCCGATGCCGTCGACGCTCGAACGGGAACTGGCGTCTCTGCCGGCAAATACTTCTTTTCGGTGCAAATAAAGGCACCGTGGCTTCCTCCACAAGCCCGCCCCCGGGCCAAAAGCACAGCGCAGAGGTGAGCGTTCCCGCAAACCTCCTCTCCCTCCGTGCAACCTTCCGCTATGGCTTAAGGCAAGCGATTCTTTGGCCACCTCACGGAAACCATCCAGGTCGGCAGGAAGCACCTCCTCCCAGAAGCTGTGACCCTCACAGCTATGGGCCACTGAAGTGGTCAGGATCTTATATTGCGAAGCGACTGGGCATAGCGAGCTGACGAGTAGTGCAATGCTATTCCTGCCTCAGCCGGCTCCTTTGACTTGTCCTGCCAATCGCCGAGGGAACAAAGGTCAGAGGACGACAGATTCAGAATGTGGCCCACTGTAGGCAGCATGCGCCTCCATGAGTAGGTGGTCAACTGCTCAGCATTGTCCAGGAACTCGGCAAAGATGGACTGGCAGAGGTGCTGCACCTCAGCAATGTTCCAAGGCGTCCCACGCCTGTCGAAGCAGATCCCTGCACTCTTCTGGGCCACCGGAGAGAGGGCTTTCCAGGCTTTGAGCCACTCAACCGTCCAGTTGAAGCCGGAAGCGAACTCAGCAGGAGCACACCAATCGAATCCACCCCGGGCGTGACGCTGCTTGCCTTTGCGACAATGGCCATGGAACACCAGTGGACTGATTCGACGAACAGTGGATCGACGGAGATGCTGGTACCGCAAGCAACCAGTAGCCACAAGCCAGGAGCCCAAGAGACATGTCCATCGCGGGTCCCCCCCACGGCACATGCTCTCAATGCGCTCTTCCAACAACTGCAGCATGCCGGGCTCCACCACAAGGGCTTGGCTCTTCGTCGAGGTGGCCTTCTTCTTCAGCTCAGGGGAGATACGAAGACGGCCGACTTCCCAAGGAGCTCCTGAATGCTTGCACAACCAGCGAAGCGCATTGAGCGCGCGGGTAGGGGCCACCGTCCCCTGATGCAGGAAGTTGTCCATGTCCACAAAGTCCGGAGGAAACGACCTCCCACGGTGGAGCAAGAAGGCGTGGAGCTCCCCGTAAGTACGGAGGGCGTTCTGAATCGTCACCGACTCAGACTCCGCCACCTTGGTCTGGGCCAAACGAAGAACGGATGCCTGCCAATCCCGCTTCAGGGCCTCAGTCAATAGGCCAGCTGGCTTCAATGCACCGACCGTCAGGAACACCTTCTGCAGGGCCAACACTTGGCGCTGTATGGACTCAGGCTGGTCCTGGACACGTTCATGAAGGCGTACCCCCGCCTCAAGTGGAACCTCCTTCCTCTTGCGAGCCAGCGGAGGACGGGTATCCGGCAACAGAGGTCCCCCCTCGATCAAACGAGCAGCTGCAGGAAGAAGTTCCTCCTGCTGGGCAACACGGACTGCCAGCCAGGCATCTGCCAAGAAATGGCCTCCCACGGCCACAGCTTCTTCCCAGGTAGAGAAGGCAAATGCAAAGTCTTCGTCCTTCTCATAGCCACGCTCACGTCGCCAGGTAATGGCTCGGGCCCCCGCCACGCGAGCAAGACTATCTTCGGCCCGCCAACCAGAGGACGAGGCCGGCTCATCCGGCGGAGCGTCCACAGCTCCAGCGACTTGCGCACGGTACACCATGGCTTGCGCACCCGCTGAACTACCCACTATCGTCATCAGACGACGAAAGTTCGCGGCAACCCGGACAGATTTGGAGCACTGGGAAGCAGGCGGAACACACTCCTTTGATACAACCAAGGCACTGCCGATAAGTGGGATCACCACAGCCGCAACACGCTGGAGGAAACTCAGACTCTCCGTTGATTGAGGACCCCAACCATCCACGAAGGGCTCGATGGGCACGAATCTTCGGGTGAAGAGCGTCCAAATGGCGCGGCAAGTGCTCAATATCTGGCAGCGGGGCACGAAAGGGGTTGGACCACAACCCGTGTGGTGATCCCAGGATCCAGTGCCGCATGTAGTAGAGAACTTCAGATTGAAAGGTTTGCAGGGGCAAGAGGTCAAAATCCCCGGGAACCTTCTGCTGGAACTCCCATAGATAGGAGGGCGCAAAATTCTCTGCAGAATACGGGGTACGGTAGGGCTGCAACAAGAGGAGGTCCATTGCAGCGTCCAACCGAGCATGCCTATCCCAGGCCTGCAGATCCGCATAGGGGGAAAACCGACTGGCCCGTCCCCCGGGCGTGAAGACGGAGGCATGTGTTCGAATAGAACCACCGAGCTCCAAAGCCGCAACGCGCCTGCCCGGTCCCCCCGGGCCAAAAGGGCATCGACCTGGCGACGGAACTCGATGAACGCGGCGGACGAAAGCACCTCAGCAGCCGTGAACATGGCGACATGCACACCGACGATCTGCTGTGAAGCCATCCACAGCACACACAGCAAAACTTAAGCAGAACAGAAACTCCACTGTCCCACTTTTGGCTTGAGCCAAAATGGACAGTGTACCAAATGTAATGAAGACTGTGCACCCAAACCTGCCCAAAGCTCGACACAGTTTTATATATTTTTGTATATATCGTGTATATATATGTATATATATGTATATAAACACCACCACCACCACCACAACAACAACAACAACAACGACGTCGACAAACACACCAAAACACGACAACCATCTAAACCCAGTCACCAGGCCTCAACCCCAACCGTTGGCGCCTCTACACCATCGGCCAAAGCTGCCAGGTACTCGATCAGCTCTGCCAGCGAGCGCACCAGGCGCCCGGAGGAGAGGCGCCGCTGTGGGAAGTCCTCCGCGTAAACCTCGGGAGGACCGGGAAGACCGGCAACGCGAAGACAGGAACATTCTTCATTAGGATTAGCCGCAACATATCGCAGCATTGGTGTTTAATGGGTGCTTCAGCATTGATGACATTTTGTGACATCATGGCAAGTGCTTCCCGTGTTGTTTTCATGCTTTTGAATGCTTTTGAACCATTCATAGGTTGATCCATGTGGAGAATCACAACAGTGGCAATGGAGACTTGAGAAAGGAGGGGGGTGAACGAAAGGTAGCAGGGAATCAGGCGTAATCCGGGAGGAGGTGAGAGGCCCCCCACTTGTTTGAAGAGAAGTGAGTGAGCGTGATGAAAGAAAAACTAATGCACAAACGCTTGACAAAACCTCCAGAAGCTGTAGCGGTCTAGCGGTTTCAATACAGGTTGACGTGCCTTCAAAAGGAGTCACATATTTCTCAAATGCAACTTCGGATTTACATAGTGACGTGCGGCGACCCTGTAAATTGCGTGGCCGCAGGCCATGCTTGCAAACAGGACGTGCTCAAAAACACTGGTATTTACGAGGTTTCGTTGCCGTCGATCCACAGCCGCGGCCACGCTTGAAGACAGGAGGAGCTGAAAACACTGGTATTTACGGTATTTTGTAGCCGTCGATCCAAAGGCGCACCACGGTTGAGCGCTGGAAAAGCGCAGAAAACCGTGTAAATACCGGCGTTTTCTGCCGGGAAGGTGCACAAAACCCTGTAAATACCATAGTTTTGTGCAATTTTCAAGCCTCCAAAAGCCTCAAAAACCCTTTCTGACAAAATCTTTCCTGGTTTTTGGTCTTTTTTCGGTTATTTTTCTAACCGAGACGCATCAAAAACTATCGGTTTTTGCGGTGTTTTTTGCCGGACAGCCACCAAAAACGCTGTAAATTCCATGATTTTTGGTCACTGCTGAGGACTGGAAGAGCTGAAAACACTGATATTTACAGTGTTTTCGAACGGTTGACCCCGAGGCGCGCTAGGGTGGAGTTGAAAGGGGGGGGCCCCCCCCCCGGCCAGCAAACGAAGATGTCGGGGACCATTTCTCCGAGAGATAGGCTGCAGCTCTGGGTTAATACATTTTTGCTAAAGCAAAAGGAAAACTCAGGTAGCGTAACCGCTACCTTTCGTGAACACGACAGGTGGAACATGCTTCCACCATCTTCCACCGATGATACAACTGGTGGCTAATGATGTAGAGCAAAGGAGCCTGCCGCAACCCATAAATGCATATGTTTTTAGACCAGCAAGCTGAAGAGTGTCCCTCACCTCCGTCCCCGTCCCCGTGGTGTACAGTGCGCCAATGCACGACTGTTTTGCAGTTGGCCATGATGATCAGGTGTCAGTTCTTCCCATCCATCCGAGCGGCGCAGCAGGGCACCACCGCGAAGGCCTTGCCGCGCTCCGCGGCGAAGCGCACCGCGGCCTCGGCGGCCTGGTCCGCGTGCAGCGCCACGACCAGGCCTTGGCGATGGGAGGCGGTTCGAGGGAGTGACAGGTGATGAACGGCTCGCATTTGTTCAAAGGAGTCTACAAACTGAGCATCTGACTAAGCTTATTGACTCTAAGTCTTTAGGGTTTGGACTGGGCTGTGATGCTGAGGCACTGCAGACCTCGCAAAGGCCCCGCACGGCCGCCAACGCCGGGGGGGCGGAACCCCCACCGAGCTCCACCACGGTGCATGCGCCGCATGCGGGCGCAGCCCGTCCAGGGCACAGAGCATCACTACCGGGACCTGGAAAACTGGAGGAACCTACGATTCTGAATGAATGAACTGGAGGAAGTGGCAACATGAACTGAATGAAAGGTGCCAACTCCACCCAAAACTGAATTTTCTGTACCAACATGTGCCAACTGTAGTCAATACTACATGTTTGTGTTGGCCAGCAACTTCCACCCCGGACATGCTTATTTGGGCCACCGTCTCGATTGAATGGCAGCTGTTTAAGCCAATCTTCTGGTAGCAGATCAGGTTTATCAAGACATCTGGTCCAACACCTTGGCTGTTTGTTCGCTTCCTAAGGATGTGCGCTCATCTGAAAGGTGCCAAAGAACTCTTGCAAACGCTCTGCCAAAGGACTGGCCTGGGAGTCTAGGTGGTTTCCACCCTTTTCATTCTGCTTTCTGAGCAAGCAGTGGCCCAGCAATCTGCCGACAACCAACTCTGGCATGACCTGACTCATCCACCTCCGCATCCTCTGGCTGGTCATACAGCACCTGGTTGGTGAGGATGGTGGAGGAAAACATGTTCAAGTAATTACTAATCCCATTCCATCGGTATTTGCTGGTTTTGCAATGGATTGGGTCTCCCCCAAGAATGTTCTTGATCGACAGTAGAGCTGATCAGTCGTAATCAGTACAATAGTCGTTTAACGTATAGTGCATACCCCACTGGTTCTGTCTTTCAGTCTCAAATGTACTGCGCTCAGTTAAAGCAACATGAGGTAGGTGACCCAGGTACTGACCTAGGTGTTTGGTGAATCAGTGGTCCTTCAGGGAGAAGCATGGGATGAATGAACAGTGGTTTTCCATCGCTGCGGCACGCTACCCGCCGACGTGATCTATTTGGCCCCCATGGTCGGAACAACATATTACCCCAGCGAGGCTCAACTTCGTGGAACACATCGAACCGCAGGATGTTTATTTTTTCCCGTTCTGTCGGAGACACCGCAAAAGGTCCTCCCAAGGTAAACACGGTAAATATAGATGCAAATGGGCTAGGTGATGCTAGGTGAACGTCTGTGAGCCCCTGCATGTGCGTTTGCCGCTGCACGTGGTCGATGCAGCGATCCATCTCCACCGCACCTCACCCTCTGCGGGCAATTGCTGGCAGCTGCTGTCAGCTGAGGCAGCTGCTTCAGGGCGTGTGTAATATTCAGTGAGCTCCAGCTGGCGAAAGGGAACACCTTTCGAGAGATATGGCTCCTGGCAGATTTGCTGAGTGAACCAACCCAATCACAGCTTAGGATTGTGACTGAAGCACTGTCAGAATTCTATAGTTGATTGTGCTCATCATGACCGATCCAGGCGCTGGACAAAGTGATCATCGGTCACTGCTTTCCAATTGAATCAATGATGGTCTCGAGATCCGGCTTCAATTGCCATGCAAATTGTCTCCTCGCCATGCAAATCTTCCGCCTGGCTGAGTCCCGAAGCGCACCAACGCACCTGGCGACACTCGGCGCACTGTCGACGACCATGTTTCGCTGTTGCTTGCGTGACATGGACCTCTTCTTGAAATAGTCAGATTGAACACCTTTTGGGTGACCAAATCGATCAGCCGCCACCAAAGCTTGCTAAATAAAACATGTCCCAAAAACCAATTCACCGAGCCAACGAGTCCATGGTGCTGTGGCCCACCTGATGGGCCAAGTTCCAGGAGCGAGCCAAAGCTTCTGGATCCTGGCGCTTGCCAACGCCCGTGTGCGACCCAAAAGATTATGAAATGCTAAGACAAATAAAGGAAGATATAGGAAGTCACATCAGTAACACATTGAACAAAATGTGTCGGGTGTGTGCAACGCGGTCATTCATCTTCAAGACGAAAGTGGTTCTGATTGGTAGTATGTCAAGTTGTATTAATCATGATATGTTTTAATCACATAGTCATTGGAAGTGACGAGGGCATCCATCCCACAGTGTGATTCTGCTGCTTTAATTATTCTTAGCCACTTTATACCACAATGATTTGATCCATGACCATTACAAACAACTGACCATCCACCACCGTCTTCTAGCCACTAAGCTTATGTTAAGCAATGGCAGCCATACATGACCAGCCATCAAATATGTTTTGTCAAAAAAAAATGAACATGCAAAAGCAAATGCATTGTTGTTGAATTTGTCTTGTATATTTTTCCTGGTACCACTTCTGCACTTATGAGCAGAACTATTACCAGCCAGCAGTATTCGCTGTACGCTCCTAGGAATATAGCGAAACAAAATGCGAAAACACAAACTCAAACAATGCGAACATAAAGTGAAACAAGGTGAACATAAAGCGAAGAAATGGGAGAACAACAAAAGCAAAGCTACATTTTTTGTTTGCTGTACCTTTTGCTGTTTATTGCTTTGTTTGTGCTTTAACAATGTGTTTTGGCTCCTTGTATCTATGGCTGGCGTGCCGAACGCAACACAAAACCTAATCTACCTACCTCAAGCGCTCAAGCACCCGGAGTTGTCTTCTCAAGCTCGATGAAGGGATTTTCTGATTGCACTGCTGAGGACATACACCCACCATCCATTTCTTGCAGCGTAAGGAATGAACAAACAAACATATGAAATTCATTAAGATAAGAGCCCCCCCCCGGAGCACAAAAAATAAAACAGAGTCACCCAGTGCACCGCGCAACATCCACATCCGATGCCACGATGCCAACCTTTCGAACGGTGCCATCCTTCAAAACGCCTTGGTGCCAAAAGATCCGCAAATGCACCGGCGCGAAGATGCGGCTGCTGCGGCAACCTCAGGCTCGCTTCTGAGATGTCACCACGATGGTCCGGCAGAAGTTTAGGGTATAGACTGTTGGTGATAAATATAAAACGTGCCTAGTTGCATTCTAAAACCTCTTCGCATGGGACGTTTTGTTATCGACAGTCAACATGGGTTGGTCATTATATTGGTCTGTTTCTCAGAATGTGATACTGATAACCCTGTGAGGCCATAGGCAGCCTGTTGTTTCAATCTGATAGGCTCCGTAAAAGGTGCCCATCACGTCTGCATGCACCCTTCGCAACTCTAGGTAAAACTCGAATTGGTGGTATGGCTCCAAAAATTTCCAGCTGTTTCAATGGGATGGCTCTAGATGCCCTTAGAAGTTGAACCCAACAAACGAGTGAATCAACCAAGGACTGTATACAATTAGTTTGGACATGTTTTTGGTACATGTTGGTTTCAGTTTCTGGATAAATGGCAGAATGGGCTCAAAATTGTAGCGGAATTTGTGTGGAAATTACAACCTGCTCAGCCAAGCATGGAGCCAACCACCCAGGTCCGCCCGGGCGCAATTCTCGGGCAGGTCGACTGGTGTGGAGTGCCGGCCGTTGCCTGACACAAGGATCGCCATAGCACAAGGAACACTTAGAAGTTGCACACTCAGAACTCAGAACATGATGCCACCCATAGAGCGACTACATGTAATGCTCGAAAAAACGTTCGCATCATCTAGTCCCCCCCAAAAAGGCATAAATTCAAGACAACCAATCCAAGCATTAGCAAACCAACCTAACCAACTACACAAGCAAGCGGGTCCACCACACCACTCTGCAGCCGCCCATCACTCCCGCCTGCAGCAGCGCTTTCCGCCGACCAGCGCAAGCGCTGCACCACGCGTCGCAGGTCCAAGGGCCGCGGCTCCGCGCAGGTCACTGGAACTTGGTAACCTTGAGATGCCCAAAGAGCGCCAGGGTGGTGCCCAGAGCGTTGTATAGTATGTACTCCCAGGGATCGCTGAGATCGTGACAGGTGTATTGTATGTGTTTTGGCCGGTTGGTATGTTGGTGCAGAGGGACCCAAACATACCTGGCCTCAGCCAAAAGTCCCCAGGTAAGGGTGAAGCTGTTGTTGATGCCCGCTTTGAGGAGTACGGCGCCTGCAAACTGCAAGTCGGTTCCATGCCGCGTTACGACGAAAGTGGAGACAAGCTGCGGTTGCGCAAGGCACAAGCCAGCTCACCTGACAAGGTTTTGCGTGGTTGGAGCTGGGCTCATTTATTGTTTCTGCAGCGATCACATCTTGAGTCCATTCCTATTTTGAGCATTCTTTGGAGTCTAGATGTTGGCAAGCACACATGTATCTAAATGACAGCCAGTTGTCTTGCTTTAAAACCTGACAGGACCTGGGCAAGCATAATCACATATAGGTTATAAATACAGGCAAAGGGCAAAGGACATATTTATTCTTTCTAATGCCCTGTTCGCTCTGGCTTTGCGAATACCTGGCCTCGTTGATTTCTGAATTCCTGTCAACATATGGAAGCTAACAAAGGCCTATGAAATTAAATAACAACTGCAAACACACAGTTCCTGCCTCCAAGTTGGGAAGCATGACAAAAAAGCAACCACAACTAACATGAAACTTGATGGACATCTCTCGGAAATCAGTGAAAACATGTTAAATTCCTTAACATGGGATTCGGGAGATTGCTGGCATCAAGCTGATTGAGTTCTATGTGTGTGATAAGTCTTGTGGTGTTATAGGTTTGGGGCTCTACTAACCTGAAGGATGCCAAGAACAATGTGTTTGATGCGTTGCATGGATGATTGTGGGCAGCCTACTTCAGGATGTGGGCAGCCTACTTCAGTAGTTTGGCCCTTCCCTTTGCTTTGGAGTCTCAAATGCCCGACCGACATCCCGACCGACCGTCCCTCCCCGAGAGCCTTTGCCCGCGGAGATCTCGAGGACACCGGCATCGGCGCGCAAGAGCTCCAGGCCGAAGGTCTCCACCAAGCACCTGAGGTCGAAGGGTTGAACCACCCGCAGGGCCGCAGGGACGACCAGCTTGGATGAGCTTGGATGAAGAACTGGGCTCCACCCAACCATGCTGGGGCTAAAAGTGCAAAGATTTGTTCATATACTACTAGTCGAGAGTATATAACTCCCTATAGAACTCCTCTACGGGGTGAGTGAATGCGGGAGATGCGTGGAATCCTCGTACACTAATGGAGGACCTGTCGTACTTATGACTTATACTATATGCAAATCCGCCATGGTCAAGGAGGTTCCCAAACGTGCTGCACGAGGTGTCCCAATGCCTGGCAGACTGGTAGACCAATGGCAACCCACCAAGTGAAAAAAGCAACACGTCTTGGGATGTCTTGGGGATGTGTTTGCGGGTTGGTGCAGTTAATTAATGTTGTGGAGGGTCATCTATCAGAACCCTACTTGTCCCATGAACTTGTCTGTGGGGAAGTCTGAAACACACATTGGGGTGGCAGGGCGGATGCAAAGCCAGGCAGGCGGCTGGCATAAAGCAAAAGCATGCAAAAGCACCTATAGGCACTCCACCAGGCTAGACCTTGCAGCTTTCAGCTATGTAACGGCAAAACCCAAGCACTAACATACACCAATAGACCCAAGCCCAAGTCCAAATTTTGTGGGCATCTGGGCACGAAAGCAATTCTTCTGGGCCGTCCGACTTCATAAAAACATAGGAGGCGCTGCCTCGCTTCCCCCGGCGCTGGTAACGGCCGCTGCGAGGGGGCTGCAACTCCGCTACATGTTGTGACGGCTCCATGTGCGCCCGGCGCATGCCATGTCGCGTTCATACCCATGGATCTAGTTGCAATAAGGTTCGCACGAAAAGACACCAGTTGCCTACAAATTACCTGGAGCATTGCCTCAGCTGGCCAAAATCAAAACAACTGTGCATCATGCTCGCCATGAGGGATAAAGGCACATGGATGCTACTGCTGCTGTCCCGTTCTTTGTCCAAAGCGGTGACCATGGTCAAGAAACAGGTGCTAGACCCAAGCGGTGACCAAGCTCCAAACAGTGACTCGACCAACTACGAGCTGAACTTGCTGCAAGCAGGTGTCCAAACCATGCGATGCGACAACACCTCCAAGAATACAAGAGGTTGGTTCAACCAATGACGGGACGGTTTCTCGGCTCTAAGTCATTCAAACTCTACAAGAAGGCTCATATCACCAAGAGAACATTGCATCCATGCAAATTGAAGTTGAAGTTGACAACATCAAGACTTGGGAGGCCTTAGAAGTGATTGATGGGTGACTACACAGTGGTCTAAGTCCCCTGCCCATGTGTACAAACAGCTTTGTTTCGAGGTCATTTGCTGGTCCACGCTCACATTCCCTAAAAATACAATTCAAAAGCTAGCTGCTAGCCCTGGTAGATGAACCGGCCTCACAATCAGTCCACTACCCGCTACTGGCAGTGCTGATGATCCTCCAAAGTTAACCTGAGAGTGCCAAGAACAAAATAACATTGGGTGCCAGTGGGTGTCCAAATGCCAACAGTACAGAAGCTCTGAAAACTTTGCTTTTATCCCTCTCCCATCTATCATCATCTGATATTTCAATGTGCTTTTCTATCTGCAGTTTGGCCATGGCAGCCCCATCCTGAAAGCCCCCCACCTCACGCACGCGGTCTTCCAACCCTTTCCCCGGTGCACCGCCCCCGCCGTGCGCCCGGACGTTGCCATCGCCCAAGCGTTCCACGAGGAGGAGCATCAAGGGTTCAAAGGCGGAGTGCGCCTCGCGGCGTAGGCGACAGGATGGGGGAGGAGACAAAGCAAAGGGGTTGAGATGGACAACCCCTGCCATGGAGGCGACTAGAGGCTAGTCTTCCAATGAGCCTTTTCCGCTTGGGTGTTTGTGGGAGTGGTCATTTTGGGGATCCTGCAGAATGGGAGCCGTTATATAATTAAGGGAAGAGTGTCTGGGGCAGCAAAGCCGCTCAAAAGCAGCATATCGATGCAACACACACTCCTGTTTCGATCTTTTTCATGGTGAACCAGGACTTCCTGCCAGGTATGGCTAGTTAGCTGTTGACACAGGCTCCACACCTGTCAGCTGCACCTGCCGGTACCACCCCACCATCTCGGCGCCTCCGCGCGTCGCAGTTGCCGTAGCTGAACCTGGCTAAGCGCCTGGAGCAGCGCCATGGCCGACAGGAAGACCTGGCACCATGGCCGGTTCACCGCCCCCGGTGGAGCTGGGTGCTCAGTGTTTTTTATTGTTTTTGTGCCTATTTTGAGATGGATAGTTGATAGTTCTTGTCCCCTGTTTCATAATGGAGAATCAATTGCATTTGGTATCGGAATCAATTCCCCTCTCACGGTGCCTGATTCTTGTGCACAACACTGAGAGTAAGGAGCTCGACAAATTGCGAGTCTACTCTACCCAAAGAGAAGCTGCCAACCGCACATCCACTGATTCTGATCTACGTCCATATTCGATGGCAGGAAACTTTCAAAATACACCGTACACCATCCAAAACTCCAAGTGTGTTAAGATGGGTTGAAGTTGAGTAAAACCATGTGCAAACCACCCTAAAAACGCCGCACTCTCCTCTTTCGGTCGACTTCTGTCATCGCCTGGACATTCTTGTCCGGCACCATGCGCTTCAAGACCTGCACGAAGCCGGTCAGCAGACGGCTCTGGTCGTGCGACCTCAGCGGAGCTGCGTGCGAAACCGACTGGGTCACCGAGATGCTTGGAGTGCCTGAAGGGGGAGAAGGGAACATTGGGAGTCTCAAAAGGTCGAGTCTTAACCTTAGTAGGAGTCTTGGAACAATCGGGGCCTAACCTCATTTACACGTATACCGTATACGTATAGAGTTTACCTCTATCGGATGGAATGCAAATGTATGCAAGCTTGCAATTGACAGCACTTCTGCCTGTCTGTCTGGTTGCTCTTTTTTGTGCCAGCGGCTCGAATCTGGTGTTTCTTCCGTGTGGGTGCTTTCACTGATTTGCTTGCCACAATGGCGTTTGCAATCTGTCAAATCCCAGAGCCAGCGAAGAGGGTGTGCACCTTTCAACACACGCCTGCCATGCGAGGCAACATAGAACATCGGGCAAAGCCACAAGCTACATTGCAAACGTTCAGAAGGTTTGCCTCCTCCTTCGGGATCGCACCAAGCAAGTCAACAACGTCAAACGCTTGATGTTGCGCATCCGTTCCTGTCATCCGTTGGGTTGAGCCCTTGTCTTCAAGTCTTCCAGCTGATGCATGCCACCTCTTCATTTTCCAGTTGAATGACCCAGAAATCCTGTGCTCAGATGTCTACGATGCTCTTGGCACATGCAAGACCGGATCCTGGCCACGCGCTTGCATTTCCACCACCAGCACGTCGCCAGCAACATGTCGTAGCATCTCCAGTAGGCCGCAACCCTTGCGCAGGCCGAAGTCTTTGGGCTCTGGAAGGGCTGAGCCAGACCAAACCTGTGCCAGCAGGGAGGGTGCCAGTGGAATCAAAGGTTTGATTTGGCATGCCACCAAGATGGAAGGAGATTGCTATGCTGGTCTGTTGCAACATGCATTCACTACTTTGGGGGATGGAAGGGGCCCCCTACTTCTAAACTAGCATGTTGAGTGTTCAAAAGCTCTGCGATGGTTGTACCTGGAATAAGCCTATACGTAACACAGCTATAGCAACTTTATTTCATAACTTTTTTGGCAACGTTCAACTTCTTTTGGTAACTTTCAACTTATTTCAACAATTTATTTTTAGAGTTGCAAGTTTCTTTTACAACTTCTTCTCAAAGTTACAATGCTCAAACAAGGATAGAAGTTTACAAAACATGTTAGTGTTCGGTCAGTGTTCGGGCGACAAACGGTTGTCACTACAAAAGGACACTTGTAGCTTTACACTAGTGTTCGGCCAGTGTTCGGACATACATGTTGACAAGTTCTTTAGAACATTGTAAACGTTTTGATAAAATTGTTTTGCGTTCTTTTTTAGTGTTTGGAAAGTTCTTCCCTTAATCTAAGATATTTAAAGATTAAAGTGTGTATAAAACAAGATTGTTGCTGCGGAAAGAACATTGTCTATGATCTATGCTTATAAAAAAACTTTCATATGGTAAGGCCAGAATCCGTGATGTAAAAAAAAGTCAAAAAAAGGTAACACAAAAGTCAACTGGAAAAGTCAAAGTCAAAAAACAGTCAAATAAAAAAGTCAAAAAAAAGTCAACCATAGACCACAGCTCGAAAAAGTCAAAAAAAAGTCAAAAAAAGTTTTTAAAAAAAAGTCGAAAACAGTCGGAAAAAGTAAAAACTGTGGCTTCTCGCCTTGGCGGATTACTGGAGTCAAGAAAAGTCAAAAAAAGTCAACCGTAGGCCACAGCTCGAAAAGTAAAAACAAAAAAGTAAAAATTTTAAAACAATCGAAAATCAGTCAAAAAAAATCAAATTGACAAGTCAAAAAAAAGACACCCCAAAAAAAAGGTAAACAAAAGTCAAAAAAAGTCGGGCCTGGGCAATTTGACTTTTTTTTTTGACTTTTTGAAATTTGCTGATTTGACTTTTTTTTGACTTTGACTTTTGGGATTGACTTGTTTTTGACTTGTTTTTTAAAATTTAGAACACAGGCTCTTTCCAACAAACGTTTTTTTAATAAATCTATGCGGAAAGAACATTGTTGATGCGGTTTGTGCGCATGCCTTTGAAGACCTTCTTGAAAACACCCAACTAGCATGTATTTTGATTGAAGCCCCATGCCTGGAAGTGAGCCTTTTTCACCCGCACCTCGCCCGCTTGTGTATGGATTGGTCCAATGTCATCCAAACAATTAACAAGTTTCCCAGTCCCACCATGTGACCTGAGCGTACTTCTTGCGCAGCGAGCTCAACGGCAAGCCCTTCTCCCCAAACTCTCCAATCACGGTGAGCAAGCGCGACTTGAACATCTGCATCTCCGTCTGTGCTTCTACATCTCCCTCATGCCCATACCTGGCATGACACGCGTCTTGCATGCAAACAAACAGTATCATCTATCGTCTATCTATGATAGACAAAGAGGTTTCTGTATTGCATAAAGAATGCAATGCCTGGTCATCAATGATCCAATTGCAACAACATGGAAAACTAACACATTCAGCAATCCCTTTGGTCTCCATTCTAGATATCTCCACCCTAAACATCATATGCGAAAAACATGACAATTAATGCATGCATTCCTAGCGTCCACTGCAGCATTAAGTGCTGCTCATGGCGAGGATTGCTTTGTGCACCACAGCCGTGGTCTCGCGTCAGGTGTCGGTAGGCTTGGTGCAGTCGAGAGAACTCTTCGCCCTCGTCGTGGCAGTGCCGTGAGTCTGGGTGGTGGCTCCGCACCAGCTGAAGGTAGGCCTACCGGTCTACCAAGTATGAACTCTCTTTAGCACTCTGGTCTAGAAGTTGGTCCAGCATGGTCCAGCCCATTTTCTCTGGCATGTCGAAAAAAGAAACACGTTATATAAATCATGCTTACACTCACCACACGTCTCAGCTCCCTCTTCGCCTCTCGAATGGCTTCGGGCGAGGCGGTCTCGGGCACCCCCAAGCGCCGGCAGGAGCTCAGCTTGGCGGTGGACATCTCCTGCCGGAGCCATGTGGCCAAGGTGAAGTGCTTTGCCATCTGCGCCAGGTCCGCGGCGAAGTTTCCTGCATGGTCCTGCAAAGGAATAAACCATGAGATCCCCTACCAAGCCCACCTGTACGCTGGCTCAAGAGTTGGGAGCAAATCCAGCTATATATTGCGGTGCAAGCTGTCGGTTTGGGAAAGTGTCTCAAGTCAAAACACCCACTTCAAGCACTGAAGCCTTGTGGTCAACCAGCCTAAGAGTCCAACCGATCATCCAGGTCCTGCAAGGAGTCTCTTAGGTGACACCGATCTCGCAGCCATCGGCAGAGTTCCAAATGACCCGCCCAAGCGGCTTTGTGAAGACAGTTGTGGCCGTGATTTTGGACCGCCGCAAAATCACAGCCCTTGGACTTCAGCCATTCGGCAAGGGGAAGCAATTCGCTTCCTGAGGTGTTCCAGGAGAGTCACAGAAGTCATCCAGGGTAGCTGGTCACAGAAAAGACGGCAACCAGCTACCTGCTGTCCCCCAAAGGCCATGTGCTTGGTGAGGGCTTGTTTCGCAGAAGTCATTGGATTATGTTCAGATGCCCCAGCCTGTGGACTCAGTGGAAGATGATGGGTAAAAGCCAGGCAAATTGAAATGCTCAAGGTCCCACCACCGAACTACACCATTATTTTATACTAAACTTTACTAAACACTGCGCAGCTGCTTCGGCTTGCAGCAAACAATCAACATCCTGGCCTTCTTGGGGGGTTCACCAAGCAAAAGGCACTAGTAACTAGTAACTATATTCTCCCTCTACCAAAGAACCCGCTCCTTCCGAGCATCCATCCCGCCCGGCTCGCTCTCTGGGAGCCTGCGAGAGCCAGTGCGCCACGGAGCACCCGAAGCGGTTCCGCTGCAGTGGGTCCGCGCCAGCGCGCTCGACCAACCAGCGGCCTGGGGGACGTTGGGGACTCCGGAGCTTGGTTCAATCAAGTCAAGGGGAGGACTCCTTTGAACCACTCAAGAACTGGAAGTGTCAACAAGTGTTGTTGGACATCTGCTATGTCCATCTATATCCTACAAAAAGTGCAAGATTTCTTCCACCAAAAGTAATGGCAACAGCAGTGTCTTGGGCCATGCCATGGGTGAAATGTTCCACATACTGCCGGTAGTAGCCACTCACATACCTGGACCAAGGGGGTGGCATGCGCGGAACTCCGCGGACTCCGAGCGGGCTAGCTGACTGATGTAACTGAACCAACCCACCATTTAACCGAGCTTGTCATCATGACCAACCCACCAGGTCGAGCAGCTGGTCTCCAGGTGATTCTGCCACACCGCCAGCTGCAGTGGTGAGACCTGATAGGTCTCATCAGCTCATGAAGAGACATTCAGACCTTTGCAACACAAGTCCGGCATTGAAGTTAAGTCTTGTTTCACCTTAATTCCAAACATGAACACAGTCCTCAGGTCAAAAGCCTCGTCTGTACTGCAACAAGTTCACCAACACTTCAAATATCACAAGGGTTCTTCACTTTGCTGGTTGCTGCCCTCCCTCTTCAAACACATCTCGGCTTCCGAATGTCGGCCTCATCGCGGGCGAGAGCAAATGGTTCTGCCCTCTTCGTGACAAGCCACTGGCAAACCTCCTGCCACTGCTAAAGCCATGGAGCCACCAGAATCCCAAACTCCAACAAACTGTTCGAGGAAAAACATCAACGCCACAAGATGCTAAGGAGAGACATTGAGACATTCTGGAGATTCTGCAACGACTACACAGTAGGGCATGGACTTTCAGGTGCCAAGCCCTTTGTATCAACGGGGAAGATATCTTCGTTCACAGACTTCCTGTGACGGAGTGTGTCAACAGCAAAATCCAGGAGGCTGATATAGGCTGATCTGAGAATAAAACTCAAACGGACAAGACCTCTGACTTGGTCACACTTCCGATCCCGAAAGAAACCAAGAAACATGTGGCTCACAAATGGCAGCAATTACACAATTACCCATCTCCTATGTAATGTACCAACGTGATTTGATGGCACGTCCATTTATCTCTGGAACAAGAAACATCTTATGAAACAAATGAAAAAACAAATAATTACATGTTCTTACTTTCTCGTCATCCAACTGCCCGGTCCGTTTGTCCATTCCGTGCCGCATAGTGCAAGGCAGTGCGTTGGTTCCAAGTCGTCCCCTCGAGAGCTGCTCGCAAGTCCAAGAGGAAGTCGCAAAGCTGGAGATGTCCGTTGCCCGCCGCCCAGTGGAAACAGCTACACCTGAATTGGACAAAGCCCTGGAAAACCAGCCAATAACACATGAACATGTCACATCCATTCAATCCACCACTTCGCGGTCTGCGGTTGCCTCTGCCAAAGGGATTCCATCTCTTCCAGTTAGTTCAAGTAGCTCCGGACACAAAACCGGCTTAATTGGCACAACTATGCACAACTGGACAACGTCACAGGCACCCATTGTGGTCACTGGCGTTCAGGACTTCCTCCGCTGGCAAGCCTTGCAGCGCCTGCAAGTGGCCCTCCTGAGCGGCCTTGATGGCTGGACACGCCTTCGACGTCGCCTTCCCCGGGTGGGACTTCTTCTTCGCTGCGGGTGGATCGGGTGGATGCGAAGACATCTGCAGGATTGCCAAGGCCAGGGGCTGGCCATGGGCTGGCCATTGGTCAACTGAGTTTGTTTGGGGAAGTCAGTCAGTGTGGAAGTACTGTTGTTGACTGTTGACTTCTTCATGCACATTGAAGCCAAAAACAAGTGGCCCCAAGTAGGACACGCACTGGAGGTACAAACAATTGGCGTTGGTGTCTGGCACTGAATTTCATTGAGAGTTGGCTGGCCCAGCCATCAACATCACATCGTTCGGAGCAAACGAAGCAGCGAAAGCCAAACAAGACCAACAGGTCAACCGTTTCTTTAGCATTACTCATCAAGTCAAGAGCGAGGGCCGGTTGTCTGGATAGGTCTGAGACAAGGTTCGATCTCCGTTCTGTCCCAAAGGCTGACACAGGGGCTCTGGGTTGGAGTGACGCTTACAAGGTAACATACTGTAACTCACGAACGTCCCTCGTCCAACATCCAAAGGACCAAGGAGAAGAAACAAGGTGATCCTCAACCAGGAAATGGAACCAAATCCAAGTGAAGCATGGTATATATCACAAAACATGTGGGGAGCTCCTCATTGAATGAGTGTCTTAGGGTGCGAAAGGATTCTTATCTTTATGCAGGCACCGTGTTCCTATTTTCCTCCCGTAAGACCTTATATATTGTAGAAGAATGCTGTAACCTTCAAGTAGAACAGTGTCAATCAATCCCTGTCAAGATGTCTTGGGAATCGCGAGTCTGTCTGCTGCAGGTCTAAAAGTATATACCAACACTTCTTGAGTTGCAAACACCTGGACCTGACCCTCGCTTAGCTTCTCCCTCTCAAACACACAGCCCAGCTTTTCGCTGCCATCTGGGCATCAGGACCGATGAAGACCGTTCTGCAGGTCCAGGGCTAACTTCTGGAGTGCTGCATCTCGCAGGTTCCAGGTCTGTGCAGGAGGTTCGCTGGACAAGGGGAGCTCGGAGCGGAGATAGAACCAACAGTGCCATCATTATGCCACCCGTTGACCAGGCATTGGTCAATTCCCCATGGAGGTCAAGAATCCCAGGGACATGCAAGATCTGGAGAGTCCAAACTCACATCCTACTTCTGCACCCTGAGCTCCGACTACATGGGACCAGTCCATGTTCCAAACTCGTGGGAATTGCGGATGAATGAGGTCCAAGAGGTCGGCACAACGGGCATGGGAGATCATACGAGCACCATGTTACTCTTTTACTAGGGGGTGGTCAAGAATCCCTTCATCCGCGAGCAGGGCAGTGTAACCTAAAACAGTGGAACATCCCGTGGAACCTCTGCGGCTCCAGTTCTCAGTATGGAATGCTGGTATATGCCTACATTGGCCCCCCAAACCACCCCAATGTAGGCAAATATGATCAAACATGGCATCCATGGAGCGTCTGGCATATGCAAGCCCCTCTGATATCCACTCTTATGAACGTTTTGAGTTCAGGTTTGTCTGCAGGATTGCAGGTTCACAAGAGGAAGCAAATATAAGCACATGAGCAGGAAAGTCGACATGATGTTCAACACGCACCTGATTGTACCAGCAGTTGGTGACTCTGCCAGCACGCCGTCTGGAAGCGAACACTCGGGAAGCGAACGTCTGGCGGCTGAGGTCGTTGCCGCGGCCGGGCCTTGGAAAAAACACAGCGCGTAAGGTACTCGCCAAAGAGCTCATTGAGGAGTTCGGCTTCCTGCGCGGAGCTCGAAGCAGCTAGAAAATGATCATATGGACAACTTATTATTGTCATGTGAGATGCTATGTCTATGGGGTCACCTATAGAAGTGAGTGACACATTCTTGCCGGTGACACATTCTGCTTGTTGGAACCTCTGCAGCGCTTGAGGAAAAAAATCAGGGCGGGTTTTACAGTATAGCTGCTGTTTGTTGTCCTCACACTATGACCCCAATGTGGCCAACAAAGGGCCGACCCGTTCGAGCTTCGAACTCCGTACCCTTCGAGCTTCAAAACAAAACCCGTAGTCGCCCGTGGAATCGGCACTCGTCCCCTTTTTGGTCCGTGATGACAGCGGTATGTGGGCATGTCGTGACCATCGGATCTCGCGGTGCGTGTGTAAGCTGCATAAGCAATCTACATCCCACTCACTATACTCACTCAAAAAAGGGCTGCCAGGCATTGCCTATATACTCGAGCGTCAGCGCCTGCCGACTTCGGTCCTTCTGGAAGCTCGAATGCAAAGGCTCAGGTTGGCTGAGGTCCTCACATGGCAGGCGCTGATGAAAACAACACCTCAATGCCCCTGATTCAGTTCTTCACTTGCAACTCACGTTGAGTGCCTGTGCCTGGCAGCTTCTTGAGAAAAACACATAGTTCTATCATAATATGCTCAACATGAGCAGTCAAAAGCACAACTGACAAAAGGGTTGACCATCTCCTCCGCAGAAAAACACAATACACGTACGTCCCTTCCACCATCTTCCACACTTGAAGAATGTATAGGGACGCCCTCACCAACCAAAAGTTATTAATATTGAGTTCATTTCTGTATATGTCCGTGACCCACTTGTCAGCACGTTAGCCAATCACGAAGCCAAGCATCATCTACCCATACATTTTCGTGGCTGGAAGCCATGACGCGACCCAGTTGCTTTGTAGAGTTGGTCTTGTGGGGTGAACATGTTCTTCTTGCATTTTGTGACCCATGGGCCGCAGTTCTCTTTCACCTGTCTTTGCATGTTGGAACCTATGGCTTTGATGGTGAATATCACACGGCATCTAAGAAATTGGAGGACGCACCAAACAACAACAAGCAACTCTCCCACCAATTCCAAAATACCAACTATATAGACGACTCAGATTAACGAGTTGTAGAATTGGAGTAGCTTGGCTCTCCAGGCAATTCCGCCTGTCGTCCTGTGCCACCCACCCAAGCTCCTCCACGTTGGGCACGCCCGCCAGCGGATGGTTCTCGGCATCAAAGTTCTCCCGCTCCTCTGGCGGGTCTGGGTCCGGCGCAAACTCCTCAGTGCGGTCTCATCCGGGCCGGTCTGAAGCAAAGGATGCTATTTGCGCTAGATGGTTCTGTAGCAATGTAATTTAGAGTAGTATGGATGGCACTCTTCGTACACGTAAATCTCCATAATACAATTATTATATGCGCTTATGTGTGCACTGTGCACTGGACTGTACGAGTGTGCGTCAGTATGCTATGCATGTGGAGTGATGTGGAGTGATTGGAGTCCATGAACCCTTGGATGGCTCTGGCTGATGTGAGAAGTCAACTCATGATAGATGAACATAATAAATATCCAGAACAACTGTTCAACTGTTCTGTTCAATTTTGGGATGGGTGGTGGTGCGCTGGTGGTTATACATTTTTAGACTTACTTTCGACCCTGGTGGCTCATACAGGGTAGCTTGGCATTGGGAGACTCGAATTAAGGAAGCCAGTGACTACCAGCAGTGATAAAGGCTTGGGAACAATGCAAAGTATGGAAACATGTTTACCAGCACAGCCTCGCTGCTCACCTTCCTGAGAAATTTGGTTCGTCTTCTGGAATGATCTTCGTCATTTGCGCTTCCTAATAGCCCGAGAATAAAACATCAAAGAACCACCGAACACCGTTGGCCCTCTCACCAAGCATCTCTGGCTTCAGGCTCCACCACCGCCACGCCGCCCATCGGCGGGGTGCGGGGCACTTTGGCGCCGCCCATGCCGCCCATGGGCGGCGCCACCAGGATGTCGCGCCGCTCGACGCGCTCCGCGCTGCGTGGAGCCGCGCGGTCGTCGACGCTCACACGGCTGGAGCGTGAGTCAGGAGGATCCGGGCGCGGATCCTGTGGAGGGCGGAGTCTGGCAGGGATGAAGGTTGGAAGGGATAAAGTGTGGGTGAGGGGGTGTCTGGGTTTATGACAACAGATTTGGGTGGCTCAAGATTACAAAGCGCGTTTACCGTTTATTGTATATATAGATCGATGATGATCAATGTACCGTAGGTCATAGTCATAGTTGTAGAGACTGTTCATTACAGTGGGCAAATCACAGCCCGTTACCTGCTAGAAAGAGGCCAGGAAAGTCCGGGAATCAGTACAGCAGCCCTTGCACCAGTTCAATGTCCCATGTCACCCACCCGAGTTCGTAATCTCCTTGCCACGGCTGGGAGCCTGCGGTGCCGTGCCAGCTGGACTAAGACCCGGCCAGTCCTGGGACCCTGCAAAGCTGAACACCGCAGTGTTCCTCTCTACTGTAGATAGATTTCATGAGTGCCCCCAAGTCAAACGTCAAAAAAAATCAACAAAGCTTTGCCCGCACTGTGCCATCGTTCTCCAACATGCATGTCAAGATTGCGGTTGCCACACTATGATCAGTGCCTTAACCGTTAGCCCCACTGCCTCCCCACATCTGAGACGGTTTGATGCCACTCTTCAAAAATAGGCCAATGCTCATCCATCAAACCAACATGTTTTCGCTATCTGCTTGATCTTCTCCAGGTTTGGTCATATTATGAAGCACTGGGTTTGTGCTTGCCAAGTGCCACGGTAGGGATCATGAACTGCAAACCCATGTGCTGCTGCTACAGGGAATCCACAAATGGACGACGTCTGCTCACCGCGACTTCCAATCTCAACCAAACCAGTACAGCAGGAATCAGGAATAGCCAAATTGCTTAACTTAAGCCACCCCTCTGCATGATACCATCAACTCATTCCTCCACCCTCCTCTTGAACTCCCCCAGGCCTCGCTGTCGCGGCTCTCCCGCCGGACCTCCTCGAACATCTGCGGCTGGTGGCCGCCGCGCGGCGGGCCCCAGTCGGGGCTGCCGGCACCCTGACCTCGAGGGGATGTGGTGAGGCGAGACAGCCATGAACTCCTTCACCACCTGAGATCTCCTGGGACATGTTTGGGACCAAAAACATCATACCAAAACAACATGTTGGTGGTTTGAGGTGGCACCAGATTTCTTCCATCAACGACAGTTTCTGTAACATTGCAACTACAAAATACTCAAATTATCTCACAATCCCTTTGGAGACTCTTCTGTGGACTCCG